CCAGGCAGCATTGAAATTGCCATGTCAATTCCTTGAAAGTGTCTCCACATAACTGGTGGGCACCAAAATTATAACTGTTTACACATGCTCAACATTTGATGACGCTACTGCTAAAAATACAGATGTCTGTCCATACAGGAAGCAAGCTTGCTGATTTGATTCTAACAAAGAAAAACAGAAGTTGATACATTAGGAAGATATGGCACCATGTGCATACATACGATAGAGTATATATCCTATTAGTACACTGTCATTTTGCAGATGACAGAAATATATATTGTCAAACTGCAAAGTGGAAAATTGCCTAATTGCCTACATTCCCAGATTTTGTACCAGAATACCAGAAACAAAAATGTTTTTCTGAGTCTTAATATGTCTTAGAAATACGGATTTTTTTTAAAAAAATTAAAGCTTAGATTAAATGAATGTATAAAGGTGTATTCAAAACTACTGATTGAATCAACTACTATGTTTTTTAAAAGACAGAAAATGAATGAAAGGAACAGACATTTAAATTAAATGGAAGTATTTGATATTTGATAACTGTATTAAGGTATCTGACATTAATACATATATTACAGCAATACAGAAATATTTTTAGGAAAAAGATTTTTTTAATATTGATTTGCTTAAATGTATTGGTTATTTGTTTTCAGAATAATCTCAGTAAAATCTTTTCAAATCATAACTGCAAATATAGAAATAATATACTTCATTCCTGTACATATCTACAAGGAATAACTCTGTAGAGGACAGAGTAGTGGGACTAGATAAAAATGTAAACACCTGTACCAAAGATGTTTTTTTCAAAAGACAAATGGACTTTGTTTTTTCCTTGAAGATGTTTCACTTCTCATCCAAGAAGCTTCTTCAGTTCTGACTGAATGGTGGAAGATGAAAGGATTTGAATTCCTTGAGTCTTCAAGGAAAAAACAAAGTCCCATTGCCTTTTGAAAAAGCATCTTTGGGACAACTATGACCTGGATGACTGAGAATCTCATAGACATATACACTTCTACTATGCATGTCAAAATCTGCTTGCAGATAATGTATCAAAATTGGTGGCTCTCATGTCCAACCTCAACTGCTATGTGAAACAGATGTAACTGTTTTCCCAAGGTGCATAAAGATTCATATGGTGCTATCCATATCTAGCACATACAGATGTTTGCTCCTATTAAGTCTTATTGGCTGACATATGTTCCATTTGTGACCCAATTACAGAGGCTAGTTGTACTTTGTACTTTGTTTCCTATCCTAGGATTATTATCTAAAATCTAGTTACAGAAGTTTTAGGAACATTTACTTTTTACTTTTTCAGATCACTGGTTTGCTTAAAATATTTCAATTATATTTTTACCCACAGAAATCTGGTAGATTTTTAAGCCAGTTTCTAACTAACAAGAATCATATTTACTTGGTATGGAATATGTGTCTATGTATTTTATAGAAAGAAGTTAGGATGTTCATCTTAACTTCTTATAGGTTTTTGAACAAAAAAATGTGGCAATTAACCTAAATCAATAATAATGGCAATTAAGTGGCAATTAACCTAAATCAATAATAATGAAAACAAAAGTAGAAGTTACTATTTTTTTTGAAATCAATAATGCCAGAATGATTAAATTCCCATGAATAGCCAGCCTTAAGAGCCTTATATAGCGAGCAATTGCACTGGAGTAATTCCCCACCACCACCTGCTTTAATGCCTTTACCATTAGTAAACAGATTCTAAACCTTTTCTTTTAAAAATAAATTTCAGACATGTGCAAAACTGGACTCTAGTTCACAAAATCTTACACCCTAAGAAATCTGAAAGGCTTGAAGGCACCATAAGATTTCTTTTTCAGCAACAGACTAACATAGCTACCATGCATATAGATTACAATATAGAGCAACTATATTAATCCTCTACTTTGGGGAATCATATCCAGAAAATATTTGTTGCACCCTAGAATTATGTATACAGTATTAGTAAATGTAAGTTTGCCAGAATATTATTTGGAGAATGACATTACATTTACTTATGTTACAATGTTACAAATTAATCACATTTAATTTAATCTTAATCAGGCGGTATCAAAAACAAATCCCACAAAAAGATAATGAATGAATCAGAATATACAGCATAATGATCAAATTTGTAACTCTTTAAAAAAAACTATTTTGATTGGGGAGGGTATTTTCCTTTGTTGTACCCAATTCTCATTCTAGTTAAGTTTTGCTATAAATGCATTATAAGGTTAGATATATCTACCGATCTATTTTATACTATAGTACATATTTCATGATGATGCTTTTTGCATATTGTAGAAAAGTGGCTTTGAATGAGAACTATTATTCTCTTCGTTCCAACATCTTTCTCCAACAAATGCCACTATATGTTTAAATATGTTTCAATCTTTTGATATCTCTTGAAATTTGGCTACTCACAGGAATGTAAAACTTCCTGAAATATTTTTGAGTCTTAGCAAGCACTGTTAACTTCCTGAAACACTGCCACAGGTATTTATTTTGTTTGCACAGGACCCTGTAAATTCTTCTTTGAATCAGTCAAAATTAGATGACAAATTTAGCCAAAATAAACTGTTCTGCATATTTTTTGCCTTTTAAAGTTCTGGACTCTTACCAGAGAGAAGCCCTATTACACTGCAGGAGTTACTTCCCAGAATGCCCAAGTAGGTCTACACAGTTAAATCCATCCACATCAAATTATCAAATACAATTTCATGTTAAAAAGAAGGAAGCTTCAGCATTTTGCTCCAAATTTCATGAATTTGTTGGCATGCAGCCAAGCAGTGTTTCTTTCAGACACTGTCTTACCAATGAAAATATCAGCTGACTTCAAACTTCTTGCAAGGGTGTTGAAAAATATGTTCCTAAATTCTCCTGTCTAAAGTATTCTAGTATTATAATAGAATACAACGCTTAAAAAAAATCACATTGTGTGCAACTTTTCAATATGGGGCACATATTTTCTATAAACAACCTCTCACAAAAACATGGATGGTTATGTGTACTGTAAAGCACACCAAAACTAAAGCAGGCTGTAAGCATTGGAATGGGGTAAGACACAGACCATATGTGGGTGCGCGCAGGGGAGCTACTTTCAAATGTATGTGCTAGAAAAAAAAAATAACATGTGCAAAAACTGATCCCTGACCAGCAGAGAAAGAGGACATTGTTTGGTTTGGTCTTGCCACAGTATGGGCAAGACTCCTACCATTCTTCTGCAGGCAGTTGAAGAATAAGCTTGGCGTGCGCATTGCATTGCGTGCAGGTCCTGGACTAGAGGGGGAGGGCAACCTGGCTGGAATCCAGACAGGCTGGAGTAAAGCGCTCTGTTGATCATTATGTCTGGCCTTCAGGTGTCTTAGCCCACAGTGGGCGGTGGTTGGGGGAGGTGTAGATAACAGTATGGCAGACAAAGAAGTGGGGGGAGAAGTGTGGCTTTAAAAAAAAAAAAAGCTATGAGATAATGGGATGCTGAATCTTCCTTTTTTTTTTGTTTGAAAATGTATTTCTTGGGTTCTGTGTTCTGAAAACCTTAGCGAGCAAAAGCTCTTCCCACAAAGACTTTATTTCAAGCTGTAATTAGGAACGTCTGGAGCCTGCCTCTCACATACAAACCCGGATTTGTTGTTATTCATATTTTAAGGGGAATGGTTGGATTTTGTTTAAGGAAAATCAAATAAGCAGTACTGTATTTGTTCTTGCTGTTTTTCCCTTAACTTGCACATTCATGGAGATGCTGCTTGCTTGGTCTGAATATGAATCCAATTTCTATTGTCCTTGCCCTCCCGCCTCTCCCCCCATCCCAAACCACTCCCCTGTGAAGCTAGTTTCAGAATGCAACTTTCTCACAATAGATTGCTTTTTTTAAAAAAAGAAAATAATACTTTTACTGCCTGATGTGAATTACTTTTACAATATGAAAACATAATCAAAGTGCATTATTCTACTCCGAGATTCTGGAATTTCATTTCATTTCTAGGGAAGAAGAAGAGAAGGAGCAGGAAGAGGAAAACACCCTGTGCTTTGTCTGTTGCTTCTGCTTGAGAACTCATAAATCTCCTGTTCATGTATGTGAAAGCATCAGGACTGATCCATATGAATGTCTTATTCTCCCCCCTCCCTACAACGAATCTTTTGCAAGGAAGAGTTTTACACCTCTTCCTTTAAAACGATTAGGAATTTAACCAAATTCTAAATTAAAATTGGGATTCCAACATTTTTAAAAAATAATCAGTCTCTACTCAGCTTGAATTTATCCATACTCAAAAACATTATTTATTCAGTCGTGGGGGATTTTACACATTGCATTCAAGGGCACTCAAGAAAAAAAAGAGGAACTATTTTTGTGAATGTTTTCTAGGATCTGTGAGCAATTTGGCACAAAGTTAGCTATATTAGCTATCACACACACACACACACACAGACCCACATGCCTCACAGCTAATTATAATAACTGTCAAATGTCCGTTAAGTGTGGCACGCCTTTGCCAGCTGACTTGGCAAACTTTCCCTTTATTCCTCACACTATTCCCATAGCTATGCATTTATCATTATTAGAGGCAGTAAATATATAATTTTATTTATATAATGTATATAAGTCTATAAAAAAATCGAACTCTTCTGGGCAAGGAGGGAACTCCCTCTTTTTTCCTGCCTCCACTTCTCTCGTCTTCTTTTTAATCAAACAAAGCAGAAACCTGTCTTGGGAAGAAACTGCGTCGCTCTGTCCCACAGTCCAGAGGAGAAAACTCTCCATACTTAAAAAAAAAAAAAGAAAAGAAGTGGGCATGTAATTGAAACCGCCGGGAAAATACTCGTGCAAGACCTCATAATAATAATTCTCCTTTGAAAAGGCTGCATCCAACCTGCACGAGTCCTGGCGGGAAGGGGAGGGGAGGGACGGTACCTGCCAAAGGAGAGAAAGGTTGGCTTTGACACATGCTCAAGACCAAAACGGAAAAGAAAACTAAGTCCGGGGGACTCACCGTTCCCCCACCGCGGCGGAGCAAAGTCACTCGGGCGTCGGAGTTGAAGGTGGCGCGAGAAGAATACCAAAGATGCAGAATCCCACTTTGCTGATGCGGTCCTGGGAAAGAAGGCCCGGCGAGAAGGCAGGAAAGCAGGCGGACGTGCGTCGCAGGGAAGAAACGGAGAAGGAAAAGTGTGGGTCAAGTCAGCGGGCATCTCGCCTGTCCCACGGCCACCGCTCACTCCGGCTTGTCCGAATTGTGGAACTGAATACTGCCCATGTGAAAAGAAGACCGGGTGGAGGGCGGGGGGGGGAGTTGCACGGTCACATGAGGCGCGACGAGGGCCCCCCCCACCTCTTCTTCCCCATTGGCCGTGGAAACCCCAACTTGGGCATCATCCTCGCCTTTGGAGAAGAGAAGAGTTAAAACCGAGCCAGCGGGGGAGAGCGGGAGACTCGAGGCCCCGTCTCCCCTGCCTGCAAAGACGACGGTTAAGCTTCTGCCGTGTATTAGCCGAGCGAGAGGCAGCAAGCGTGAAGTCATTCCTGGACTGAGAGAAGTGGGTGGGGATTGAAAGTCGAGCCGCCGCCCTCCGACTCTGCCGTCCCCCTCCCGCACCACCACCACCACCCCGCTCCGGGCGCTCCCGCCCCACGGTAGGCGCGCTCTTACGCGCGCACGCACGCACATATTGTGTATATGGGAAAGGAGGACAAATCTGTCTGAAGACGCTGCGTCCTATCACGTGCTCGCCAGCCCCTGCCTGCTTGGTATTCTGAGGAATGTTTCCAATCTTTGGAAAAGAGGGAGAACGGCTTCTGTTCAGGGTTCATTTGAGGGTGTGTGTGTGTGTGTTTGTGTTTCTCTCTGTGTGTGCCTCGAGTAAGCACCATACTGTCGAAGGGAGATTTGGGCGTTCCATTTAGGATTCTCAAGGAAAATCTGTTCGCCGTTCATCATCTATTAAACAAAAGGCATTTTTAGCCTTGGTCCTTCCTTTTTCTCCGTAGTTCTTAACGCGCATTGACTATCGGAGACTGATAACGCAAGACTGAGCTCCCTCATTTATTTTTCGAGTAAATGGCAAACGTATTTACCTTTCAGGGTCTTTGACGAACATTAATAAAGGCGTCCCGTTTCTTCACAAGTGTCTTCTTTTCTCCTTATTCATATATAATTACCTTCAAGATTAGCGCCGTATCTGATAATACAGGGAGGAAAAAAAATGAAGAGAAGCCTTTAATGGTTTTAATTGTATGTTCTTAAATCAACACAGTTTGCTTATAAAAGTCTGGCCACCGCCAGCAAATCTATTACCTGATCCCGAATATTTATATCACTCAATTGGTTAGCAAGAAATATGAATAGTCCTAGCTAGCATATAGTAACATTTTTAATTTTTTCCCAATATTTATTTATGCAAACACACTGAAACCATTTATATTTTTTATATTTCTAATTTGTATTATGTAATCGTTGTGTAATAATTCTGTACTTTATATCATGAGTTAGAAATTTCTTTCACATTGATATAGGATGCTCTCCAGTTGTTCAAAGTTCCAATTTTATCATAAGTTCTTAAAATATAAGAGAAAATACATTAATGTGTCATCCAAGTCATATGAGAGACAAATGAGCCAAAGTGACTGCATATGTAAAATGGTACCCAGTTCAAAATTACTATTACTATATGTATAATAAAAATCTGTGGTAAACCACTCTCAAACCACAAGGAATTCTTTTGTCAATATTGTTATCCTTAGAAAACAAACTTTTTGCAAACATAATAGCAGTAATGAAGCATGTTTCAGATGCTTCTAAATGAAGGCAAGAAGTAATACCAGTTCCAGTTCAAAAGGTTCCTGAATCCCATTCTTTGTGTTATTAATGTCCTATGTATGGCTGAGGGTGATCATAAATGGTGAACTGTAGCTATAAAGACTAATGAGACACTTGACCTGTGTAATTCTTGGCAATAAAGGAAAATCTAAAAAGAACAACTACAGCATAGATGCCTTTTTATCAAGAGAAACATTATATAATTAAAATTATAGTAGAAAAACAGAAACAATGTAAAGCAGACCTGGAAGAAGATTTAATGAGTACGAGCTAAGAATAGGAAGATCCTTAATCCAAATCCCATTCTACAACTTAATTCAATGGCCTTGAGATATCTGCTTTTTTTTCCAGTCTCAGCCCATATATCTGCCACATAATTCTGACCTACTTCAAAAGGGGACTGGATATACTGTCATAATTAAATATTGAAGCAATTAAAAATCCTAAAGTACCTTTGCATTTTTATTTTAAAAAATCTGATAGAATTCTTTTGTAAGCCTCCCCTTGAATTCACTGTACTATGCATTTATCCATGAATGGCAGTAACCTTTGACAGTTTAGAATCATTGACGACCATAGAAATGTAATGAATGAATGAATGAATGAACGAACAAACAAACAAACAAACAAACAAACATTAATAGGTATTATTTGGCTCTGTATCTAGGGTCCATATAATTATGACAAGGGAAGATTAAGCAAATCCATTTTTTACTGACAGAGCAGTATTGATGTAGTGTAGAAATCAAAACAACATTAACTGTCCAGCTTCCTTTGTGGACTAGTTATGTTGATTTGATATTATACGGAAGCTTCAAATCACATGAATGATCGTAACTGTTCCTCATTTTTTATCACCAGTGGCTCAAGCAGTGACAGGAAACAAAAATGACATAGGGCATTGTGTGGTGTTGTATGGAAATGGAAACAAGTTTTTTTCTATTTTAAAACAATTTTTTGGCTTACTATTTACTATTCCTTTTCTATAGTGTTGCTTTACAGATGTAAAGGATTAATATAGGTACATATGTATGTAAACAGTGAGCCACTAGGATATAGTTCTTTACCGCATTTTTAGTGCTTCATAAACACGTAAAGTAGGCTTTTAATTTTCATTGGTATTCTTTTAAATATATCTTTTTATTTCTTACTTCTCACTGCTGGCTAAGACTGGTTGTACTGGTTTATGCAATCTCTTTCACTCCTTGATATTTACCTCTTAAACTATTTATAGACTTTATCACCTATGTTCATATCATTGTTTTGCTGAATATAGTTTTCCCGGTATAATTGTGCAACATCAGTGTTGGAGGATTTTTATGCTTCTAGCCTGTGATCTGATACTTATAGAGTTAATTGTTTAGCCCTCTTCTTTTTTAAAAAAATGTGTTCCCTATTGCACTTGACATGCTTCTTCATGAAAACTCAGTATAGAAAATGTGTATATTTTATTTAAAGGTAGCAGCCATCAGATTCAATCTGTTTCAATCCCTTTTCCATTGACAATAATCATTGTTGAAGGATTTGGAGCAATAAAAAAGTTATATTAAGAAGTATTGCACTGCCTATGCAACCTTGTAACTATTTTTTTTCTTAGAAGGCATTGTACGTATTGATTTGTTTGTTAGATCTATATCTTAATTTTTCACACAGCAGCTGAAGGTACTGTGTTTAGTGCTCCTTTCTCCTATTTTTCCTGCAGAAATAGCCCTGTCAGGTAGGATGGGCTAAGAGAGCATTAGTGGCCCAAAGTTAGCCAGAAAGCTTTCATTTGCTGTGGGTGGATGAGAAGGTTGGCACGTCCACTGCCATCATCTAAGCCACTATAGCACACTGGATCCATCTAGCTAGATATACTGTATGCTTTTGTTAACTGTGGCTTTATATTCTGCTTTGGACTTAATAATACCAATATTGTTAGAATGTATTTCACATTAAAGTAGAAGCTTTAATCTACATACGAGGGTGATTTGGAAATAAACCTCCATTTGGTTATCAGTGACAGACACTCACAGATACAGAACTTTTATTATACACATTAGAAAACTACAACATTACATTACTTTTTGACATAATTGCCATTCAAATTGAGGCATTTGTCATAACGTCTTACAAGGTTGAAATTCCTTAGTGGTCAAATCTGAGATATGGGGGGGGGTGATCAAAAACATCCCAACGGAACTGCTTCAAAAGTTCTTGGGTGCGTCTAATGGTGTGCAGGTGAGCATTATTGTGAACCAACACCACACCGGAAGTCAGCATGCCCTGACACTTGTTATGGATGGCTTGTCTGAGTTTTCATAACGTTTCACCGTAGACTTCTGAATTGATGGTCGAACCACACTCCATGAACTTCACTAGCAGTACTCCTTTAGCATCTTCACATTTGGTGGGACTTTCTATGGCACCACTTCTGGTGTGGTGTTGGTTCACGATAATGCTCGCCCGCATACCACCAGACACACCCAAGAACCTTTGAAGCAATTCCGTTGGGATGTTTTTGATCACACACACCATTGCCCAGATTTTTCAAGAGAAGATTGGACAACCATTTGTCCACAATGGTATAAGGCAGGGGTCTTCAAACTTGGCAACTTTAAGACTTGTGGACTTCAACTCCCAGAATTCCTCAGCCAGCCCTGAAGTCCACAAGTCTTAAAGTTGCCAAGTTTGAAGATCCATGGTATAAGGACTCCTGCCTTGGGTAGAGGATTGGAATAAAAAAGCAGTCCCCAACCTTTCCAACTTTGCAGACTTGTGACAGCGGTGGGGGAGGAGAGGGGATGGAGCTTCACTCTCGCACACACTCACCACTTGCTTGTGCAAGTGGAACTGTGTGTGTGTGTTCACCTGCCACTTGCGCAGCTCAGGGTTGGGGACTCCTGGATTAGAAGACCTCCAAGATCCCTTCCAGCTCTATGATTCTATGACTTTACAGTAATAGCATTATTACCAAGTCTTAATTCCTTTATTTATTTAAAGAACCCCAGCTGTTAGACCAGTGGTTCTCAACCTGTGGGTCGGGACCCCATTTGGGGTCAAACGACCATTTCATGGGGGTCGCCAAACCATGCTGTCCACCATTTTGTTCCCTTTTCCCTAGCTGTCCTACTCCCTCTTATTGGTGGCCACACCCACTTGGGGGTCACCACAACATGGGGAACTGTATTATGGGGTCACGGCATTAGAAAGGTTGAGAATCACTGTGTTAGACTTTAATTACTAAATGAATTATTTGTAGTAACTATCAAATTAAATGGATCCAGAAAGGCTTCTCAATTTTATAGCCTTAAAATTGTCATAAGCCTCTTTATTGTCATAAGGTGTTAGCAATAGGGCTGCCTTATACTAAGTCCATTTATTGTTGACTTGAATGGCAACAATCCTCCAGTTATATTTGGAAGCAATAGAGATTGATCCTTAATGTATCTCTTTATAAAGTATATGCTCTACTACTAACCTATAAACCATGGAAAGAGGGAAAGAAATGGAGACATTCATTAATGCCTGCTGGAGGGTCAATTGGAGTACCCTCTCTGCAATGATGCCATGAAATATAAGATCTCTGTGAGCAATCATGTGACAAAGGGGGAGGCATCAGATGATAGCTAGCAGATCAGCTGAGAACTACAGATTTTATTGCTTTCCTCTCCATTCCAACATTTTCCATTTGTTATATACAGAGACATCTAGAAGAAGAGGGGGTGTTAAAAAAGAAAAAAAATAGATTATAACATTGAGAACAAAATCAAGTTTTTGGGGTATTATTGATGT